GCATTAGTAGAGAAAAAGAAAGAGTACTCTGTGTTGAAGAACGACAGAGAACTTATGAGAGAGCCAGCAAGGAAGAGGATGAATAATGTACACAGAAGAAGAGTGAGAAGTGGAACATAGAGCTATCCAATCTAACCTTTTCAAACAATGCATTTTTCAATACTTCATAGTAGGGGGAGTCGAATAAACTCGAGATTTTCCACAATGGAAGAGTCACATAGGCCTTCACCCTTCACTGGCGGAAGAGTCTTTGCATGAATTGGGTTGCAACAAACATGGAATTAATAGGCCGGCCCAACAAATAAAAAACCCAGGTTTGTTTTTCTACCGTGCAGTATGTGATCCTAATATAATATTGTAGGCCTGAATGAGCCCGCCTTGTAGTTGTTACTTATTAGGCTTGATATTGGGCCTAAGAAATTTACAATTAACCCGAATAAATTTAAACATTGTTTAACACTTTAACAGTGACCTATAGAAAATTTTATTCATATATCCAAAAACTCGTATATATACCCATATATTCACTCTGTAGCCATTGACTCCTGGTCCTATGGGCATGGTTGGTTCCGTGTCACATAAATTTGTTATTATGCACACACAAATTTAGTAATATTATATATTTAGAAACATTAACTTTTATATTTAACTATTAGAAATAGGTAATGGTGGGATTTTTTTTTTTTTATGTTAGTTACATAACAAGAAATAATTCTCTTCCATCTTTTATCAAATCTCATTCATAGGTCATGTGATTTCAACTTAATATCTTTTACTTTTCATAAAAAAAAAATTATTACTTAATTATTTAGATCGTTAGCAATAATGATGGGAGTTAATGGTTAATAATTAATAAAATAATCAATATTTATTAGTTAACAAGTTAAAATTAATGAAGAAATATCATATAGTCTAAAACAATTTAAATTACATAATTTTAACTATTGAATTGGAACAAATTTTTTAATATTGAAAACTCTTTTTTTCATTTAATAAATTTTATTTTATAATTTAATATAATTTAAGTTATAAACTTGAAAACTTTAAGATTAATTTATCAAATAGTATAATTAACTATTTCTAATAAAAATAACTAAATTTATGTGGCTACACCATTTTTTTTTTTTTTATGAACGTGGCTATACTAAATTTGTGCATAGAAATAACTACACCCGACATCACATGCGACAACTATGCTAATGTGCTATTCCGTACCACGGGGATTTGCGTCTAAGAATCCACGAAGTCACACAATTACAGTCGAAATCCAACCATTTTTTGACAGTATGGGGTGTCGTGGGGTCAAGCTGGTGCAGAGGATGAGAGAGTAGAGGACTGAATTTCTAATGTTGTCACAGATTCAAACTATTTCTAGATTCATAACCAAAAGTCCAAAATCATCGTGAGAAACACATTTGTTTCATAAAATCCTCGTTTATATATATATATATATATATATATATATATGTATATGTATATAAAAGTTTTTTTTAACATATATCATTAAAACACAAGTTAAAAGTATGTTTATTAATATTACACATTTTCACAATTAATTTATATGAAAAATTATAAAATAAATTTTATTTTTAACATTAATGTCATGTAAAACAATTTAATTAAATAATTGATAAAATTTAAGTTAACTTTCATTTTTTATACGAATTTATGATGAAATCCCTTAATTTGTCTAACATCCACACCAATGTTCTATTTCACCCAAATGCATTGAATGAACTCGAGAAA